AAAAAAAAGGAAGACGGCACGTGAGGTATTGCATCGCTACTCCGAAGTGGATTTTTTTCTTCCTTTTTTTTTTCTTTTTTTTTCTTTCGCGAAGAATTGATGGGCCACGGCTGAGTTGGGGAAACCTTGGTGGGAGGAGCTCGGTATCGGTGGATGGGAGAACCCCTGGAGGAGGCTCAAGCAGTCCAAGCTTGCCATGGAGATGGTTGCCGTCGCCGTCTTGTCGGTGTCGGTTTGCCGTTGTCCAGTGTATGTCGAAGCGTCTTGGCCTCGGCTGCGACTCCCGTACGTAGTCACTGCGTAGTACATGAGCGCTATGCAGTCCGTAGCTTATCGTTTTCAAAAGGCCGGCATGTTGAAAAGGTGAAGACATTCAAGCTTCGACGTTGCCCGCCAAGGCCACTGTTCGAAATCCCGGACGACGATTGCGGTTGAGAGAGGGGCGTGAAAGGCCACCACCGCAGATCGGATGGTGTTGATGACCCAATTAGCCTTGGCTCATATCAGCGGGCGAACCCCTAGAACCCCTATAATCATTATGGCCGGGCGCACACATTGAAGGGGGAGGGGGGTCTTGGCAGTGTTTGAATAGCCATCGAGACCGTTGCTGATTGATGAAAGCAGCAGAATAAAAACGTCCGTGGGTGCGGCGGGTGGATATGTGGGCATAAATGCCTGCTCTTTGTTGATCAAGACACGGAAATAGAAAAGAGAGATGGGGGGTTCTTGAGTGTGATTTGGCCTCGATACACCGTGTTGTTGTAGACGCGTACGGTATACGGACGGCACATGGTGGGTGGGATGAACGTTCGGAGGCTTGGGTGGCCCGTCATGCTATGGCGGGCATGTTCCATAATGTCGGTATCGTAACGTTGGCCAGAAACAGTAATGGAAGCTTGCTCAATGTAGCAGTGGCGTCCGAGAACGAAAGACATGGTGGCATATGCTCCGTATAGGTAAGGGGTGCATGGCGGCCTTTCTGGGGGACCGACCTAGAGACGGGGGGTAGGGGAGCAGCGATCCGGGCTTCAGCGAAGCGAAGGTTTGGCCCCCTTGGCAACGGCCGGAACCTCAGGACGGTTGCTATGCACAGAGGGACACAGCAGTCGGCATCGGTGGTGGGTAGGCAGGTAGGTGGATCGGAACAGGCGGTACTTTGGATACGGCCTTTGGCGAGCAAGAGAACAGTATCACCATGAGACTGTTGTTTTTGATCCGGTAAGGGGCTCGAGGGGGGTTGATGCCTGCTCGAGCTCCGTTGGAAGCGCATATGCCGCAATGAGTCAGAGAGCGCTGTGGCGGCGCGTTGTGTAGACGACAGAGCCCAAACCGTGGCTAGAGCGAGGCTACGTTTTGTCCAAGATGGAAGGGCCGCCGGGTGCTCTCTCGTGGGCGGCCACGCATGGTAGAGGATTGATTCCCGTCAGGCGGGATAGAATGGCAGAGGCGGTTATTGTCTTGGGCAGACGCATGTTCTGGACGAGGTATCCGTGATGGCGCGGGAGTCCGAGCGAGCGAGCGCCGGGTGGCTGAGGGCTGTAGAATGGTTGACTTGTTGTTGCGGCAGATGGACAAGGTAGTGGATGTGTGCCTACCTAGGTATCCGTATGCTACCGGTAGATGTAGTGCGTCGATGTGCGCACGGAGCTGTGCATGCATTGGGATCTGGAACCGAAGGCGGATAGGATAGGAAGTGCATGCAACGGGCGGCAGTGACAGTTTCCAGTGTTATGCAGCATGCATCAGCCAGTGCACTTTAGCCTGTGTAAGGTACCTTGGTACGGTACGGTACGGTACGGTACGGTACGGTACGGTACGGTACAGATAGAGCCTAGGAGGGACTCGGCGGTGATTGGTTTACGAGGCGTCAAGTCATCACACCGGCTAGCCTCGCTGGGGGGATGCAGAACGGTATGGTGCTTGGTGGCGTGGATTGCGGCAGGAGGTTGCCTGCAACTACTTTACACGGTTGTACCGTAGATAGGTACGGATAGGCAATGACTGAAGGAGGGAAGTGCGGGTGCGAGGCAGCAGGCAGCAGGTACGTTTGGCAGCTGGCAAGACAGGAAATGAAGGAGGAAGGAGCGGTTGATGCATAGTAGTACACCAACCTACTACTCCTACCTAGGTAGGTACTTTCAATTAATTACATACGAATAGTCGCAACCTGGGGCACCCGGTTCTTCGTCACCAATGCATTTCAAACCAAGTGAATTCCGACAATGCACCGCTCACGCCGCGCTTCTTTGATCGACATCTATCCCAGAAAACAACAAGAAAAAACCGGGACTGGTGCCGTCATTCCACCATCCCTGGCCATGCCTCCCACCCAGCGCGTTTTCTTCCTTGATTGGCTATAGGTAGTAACAGCATCTGGAAGGGTATCCCCTCGCCGCCGTCGCCGTCGCCGTCGCCGCCACCGCTATACCGAAACCGACTAATCGATTGACTGGTTGGCTGAGGCTGGCTTTGTGTAATATTCATTTTCGTATTAACTGTGTACCCAGGTAGATAGGTCGGTAGGTCGGTAGGTAGGCAGGTAGGTGTGCATATGATTACCGGTGTCTGCTACCACTCTATGTGAGGTATTTGCCCTCTATTTGAGATATTTGTCCTCGATAGGAATACGGTATTGGATGGAAAGTGGGCCGTTTCCCCGTTTCCCCGTTTCCCAGCTTTCGTATCCATTCTGGGTACGTACTCTCTGCTCCTCCGTTAGTACTTAGTACTCCGTATACGACAGACAGAAATCCAGATACAGAAGTCGCCCGTTCCTTCTAGCGTTGGGCACCCGTGGTTGCCTTGGTCAGTATGCAGCGTGTATGGAGTACAGCAAAATAATGGGACAGGTACGTACAAAGGCAGGTAGGTACACACGCCTGTGTGGTGCGATGGTGTGGTCTGGGAAGGCAAAGAAAGGGAACCTACCCATTTCTCCGTACGTTTGCAGGTGGGCCCATTTCCAAAGGACCCATGTCTCTTCTGAGTCTTCTTCGTTCCTGCCTCTCCTATTGGCGCGTCTTGTCGCCGGACCTCGCGTCTTCCTCTGCCCATTGGCCGGGTTCTCGCCTCGAGTTGGTAAAGTTGGGCGCACCTGTGGCAGGGCGCTCGTGGCCCCTGTCTGGCCTTGTTCTGTCCCCACTTCCTTTCGAGCCCCCTCCCCCTGACACCTGCTTTTGGTGCCTTGCCTTGCCTCGCCTGTCCACACCTGCTCTGCTCCGCTCTACCGTCTACGTACCATACATAGTAGTGTACCCGTATCCGTACGGCTTTCCTTTCCTCTCTTCTCCTCTTCTTTTTATCCTTGCCTGTCCTAGGTAGTAGTAGGTACACTGTAGTTAGCCATGTCCCTGCTGCTTCGTCCCGTCCTGGACTACTACGTACTGTCTCCTGGAGCGGCTTTGGACTGGTGACTAGACGTGGGGACCTGGACGAGGGATGATGTACGCACAGTATTTACCCTAATAGTAGTGACTGTGGGTGGTGGCCATTGTGGTGGTGGCCCTTGTGCCTTTTTGGTGGGCAACAAGAACCGGGCAGTCAGTGACTGGACTGGCGTGGGCTCTAATTGGCTGCCGCCCTCCTCCCCTCCTTCCCTCCTCCCACCTCCTTGGCTGGCCTTTCCCTTCCCTTCCGCCCACCCACTCACTCCATATCCATATCTGTCGTCCACTTGCTGCTTGCCCCCATCTTCTACTTCTACAATTGCTCTTTCCTCTCTTTAGCTCACCGCCCTTCTTTTTTTCCCTCCTTCAACCTTTTCTCCCCCTACTCTTTCCCCCGCCGCTCTGGTCTGCGATTTGTTCGTTATCGTCGTCTTTTTAGAACAGGAAGTAAGAAAAAAAGGAAACCACGAGAAAAAAAAAAGAAACAAAAAAATAATCACTCCCCCCAAAGCTCGCATTCTCTTGAGATCCGTCTCGCCTCATCTTTTTTTTTTCTTCAACCACCACAGAAATACTTTACCGGTTCTGGAAGGTTTGCTCTCGCCGAAGACTCCGCATATTCGCAACACCACCGCACAAAAACTCTCAACTCTCTTTCCCGAAAGGAACCAATCAAGAGGCGCAAGAGAAGAGGCAACAGGTCCATTCACACAACAATCGCGCATCTGGCATCTCCGCATCATCGGCAGTCGACAACCACCGACGACAACAACAACAGCCATCCGAGAGAAAAACTTTTTAATCGACTGTATTTTATTTCGCTTTCGTCTACACCTCATTTTTGTTTTCGATCCTCGCAATTACGCCAGCGAAGAAGCCTGCCTCCGTAATCTTCAGCGCTCCACATCTGCCCGAAGCACCTCTCGACGGAAAACGTCCCTGCAGCTGCACCCAGCACTCTTTTTCTGGAAAAGTCAACAGTCACCCGATCTCGCTCGCTCTTACCGCTTCGGTAGCGACCTTTTCCTGTCTTGCTTGCACGCGCGCCTTCGACTTTGGTTCAACAAAGAACTTTTCGTCCTTTGTGGTTCCGGACCCCCTCGACAACTCGAGCCGAGCACTGTTCTTCACTTTCCGACGGCAAAACATTGGTCGCCCATTCCTTCATCACCACAATCATTTTTATTTCTAGCCCCTGATTTCGACGCTTGACTACGCGACCATCTAATCTCAACCACACTCGCAACATCACCTCGATTCCATCCAAAATACCGCCGATTTTTGGATCTTGACTTTTTGGCACCTCCGTTCACTCGACTCCGCAGATACCCCATCGCCGCTATTCCAGGACAAGCTCCGGATATCCACTTGGTTCGGTCGGACACATCACTGTCAAACCCTTACACTCGAGAACCATAATAAACCCCCTCTTCGACGCGTGGCGCCGCGCATTATATCTCGACTATCCTTCTTGTAATTCGACATAGTTGCGCTCCGCCTTTCGCAAGACCATCACTCATTCTTTCCTTCAAACTCGGTTGAGTTTGGAACCACGCCTGCCCGGAACCTCCCGTCAGCTCATTTCCACGTTCGACACCGACCCCTATTTGAGCAATGGACGCAGGCGGTCTCGCTCAAATGAACCCCAACAACTTCTCGGCAGACGGTCTCGCCTTGCCCGGCGGAGGCCTCGCCTCGCGCCGTGGTGGCCCCGTCAAGCCGCTCTCCCTGTCCAGCGCCACTCCCACCAGCAACGCAGCTGAAAATGGAGCTCCCACTCCGCGTACCAGCCGCTCTCATCTGCTGGCAGGCCTCAGGACGGCCCCCAAGTCCGCTGCTGCGGCCGGCTTCTCGGCTGCCAACGTTGCTTCGCCCACCGCCCAGTCGTTCGGGAGGAACAACCTGAACCCTAACAGCGCTATGTACCCCCAAGCCCAGAATGGCCAGTACAATGGACCCAAGACTGCGTTGCCCCGGTACGCTGGGCAGCAACAGCAGCAGCAATTTGTGCAGCAGCCCCAGCAGCAGATCCACCAGTCGATCCCCGCTGGTCAGCACTACAGCGCTGAGCAGGTTCTGGCGCCGCCGGAGATTCACTTCGACGAGCAGGACCAGATGGATCCCAACTTGTACGCCCAGCTGGTTGCTACCAACATGTACCTAGCGCAGCAGCAGCAGCGCCTGCAGCAGCAGCTTATCAGCGTTCAGGCTGCTGCCCAGCAATTCCAAGGCCTGAACTTGCAGGGTGCCCAGCAGCAGATCCAGCAGCAGCAGTTGGCCATGTATCAGCAGCAGCAGCAGCTCCAGAGCATCCAGCAGTCCATGATGGGGCAGATGGCCAACCAGCAGCAGCAGAATGTCTACACGTACTACGACCCCGTCACCCGCCAGCAGGGTTTCTACGTCGACCAAGGTCAGAACGACCAGCAGGTTCAGATTGCCCAGCTCTACGCCGCCCTTGCTCAGCAGCAGCAGCAACAGATGCTGCAGCAGCAAGCGCCCCGTGTTCAGGTATCCCCACCTCCCGAGAACCACTCCTCCCCGTTCCGCACATCGACTCCCCCCAAGCGCTACGAGTCCCCCTCCGAGGTCGCACCCCTGCCTCCCCCGTCGGCCAATGCCTTCCGCCGTGGCCATAAGAAGGGCATGTCTTTGAGCGGTAACCAGGCCAACCTCTCGGCCTCTCAAGAGCCTCCCAAGTCTGCCGGCCCTAAGACGGCCTCTTTCCCGCTCACCCCTCTGTCTGGAGGTTATGGACCTGGCCAGGGACGTGCCGGCGAGCACCCCGTCCGCCAGCCTCGTGGGCCTCCTTCTATTGAAGAACTCAAGGCCAAGCCCACTGCAAAGCACGAGGGTAGCAAGAACTTTGCCACCCGCACTCGTCGGTCTGCCGTACACAATCTGGTTCGTGCTGGACGAGAGCGCAGAAAGGGAACCGGCAGCTCTAACGGCAGCATGAGCCCTGTATCCGAGAGCGCCGAGGAGGAGTCTGGTTCCCCCATCACCGACAATGAGTCTGATTCAGGTCGCAGCGGATCTGGCAGCCTGGCGGGTGACATCGACTGCTCCCTCCCTAGCTCAAGAACCTCTACCAACGGCAGCTGGGGTGCCATTGGGTCCGACCGCCCGAGCTCACGTCAGAGGGCTCGCAAGAGCCTCGACAGCGTGGGCAGCAATGAGAGCGGCGAGAACAGCTTCGCTAGCGTCTTCAAGAACTCGGCTCAGCGCGCCGGGATCGAAGTGATGGACGGTCAGCGCAAGGCTCCCATGTTGGTCCTGACCAGTGCCGAGAAGCGCAAGAGCGGCATTCTGGCATAGACATGTTTGGTCTCTTGACGTTACGATGACTATGCGCACACATCCATGTCTTTCCTTTTCACGACTTGCGCAAGGGATGGGTTGATCCTTGAACCCCTTGGACCGCAGAATTGAACGACGGGTCGGATGGACAGGCGCGTTCTTACGAATCATACGGTGTTACTATTCAAGGGGTTTGGCGGCTCTTTTTACATTCCAGCATCCGAGCTTGGTTGACTTACAAATCCATCTTCACTTCTTTTACATTCTTAGCCAAGTCAATGAGGTATCGACAGCCTCTCACTGATATTTCTTGCTTGACTCTGAACGAGCAACATCTTAGAGGCTCATGCAGTCTTGGTCTGGACGGTTCGAGAGATAGATATACCATTAGGGAAAGGGAGTCAAGGAAACATTTTTGGCCAGGCTTGGTTTTCTTCCCTTTCTCGGCTACGATGGAATTGATTTCTGCGCAGCGGGCCTCGATACGATTTCCTGAAATGGAACGCGGGCGACCCGGCGCGCCAGAGACGCTTGCTTTTCGTTTTCTATTTGCAGTCCTTGTGCAGGGTTTTTTTAACAGACCGGGAAAAGAAAAGAAAAACACGCACAACACGCAGTCGTTTCGTCGTATCTCGCTGGAAGGCTAGGTTGACGATTATGATAGCGGCTGACAGGACGAGAAATGTAGTTAGCTTAGGATTTGGCACAATAAAGATTGATAGCCAACACCCGAGTTCCACCGGTGACTTGATTGTGTGTCCACGCCCCTCAGAGCGCCGGTATGACGGTTAACCATGTTTTGATATCAAGCCTTGTTGCCCTTTTTGAACGACTCGGCCATCTTGTCAAACATGATTTTCCTGTCCGTCTCGACATGCGCAAAGTTCTTGGCCGGCCCGACAATGATCTCATCCTCCTCCCCCTTCTCCAACGCCGCCCACGTCTCCTCGGCGAAGGCGTCCAGGGGCATGCCGAAGTCGGCCTGGCCGGCGGCGACGAGGTCGGGCTGCTGGGAGTGCAGCTCGGTCCGGACGGCGGGGGGCACGACCTCGACGACCCGGATGTGGGACGACGGCCCGTGGCCGGCGAGCTGGGCACGGAGCGACCAGGCGAGGGAGTGGAGGGCGGACTTGGTGGCGCAGTAGTTTGGGCAGCGCGGGATGGGGACGAGGGCGAGGCCTGAGGAGACGAGGATGATGGAGGCGGTGGTGGACGAACGGAGGGACTGGAGATGGGGAAGGAATAAGGTGATCATGTGCACCGGGGCGAGATAGTTAGTGGTGAGCTCCGAGGCTACGGAGGGCAGAGAGATGGCGGACGGGTCCGTGAAGTCGACGCTGCGCTGGATGCCTGCGTTGAGAATGATCGTGTCCAGGGTCGGGTAGGTCGTTGTTATCCTGGGGGTTGCGGAGTGGTTGTCAGTCGATCATTGTTCCGGGGCCTCCCCATGGGGTGAGGCGCGCTGCTGGGGAGTTGTCGACGACCGACAACGGCCATCAACGGCAACAGCGGGGCGACGTGAGAGGAGGGAATCACGGGACTCAAGGGGAACTCACTTCTCGACCCACCCCGGCAGGGTGTCGAGGTCGGTGACGTCAAACGGCTCCGCGGCGAGCTTTCCGGGCCCGTGGGCTGCGGCGAGGGCGTCGAGACGGTCGCGGCGGCGGCCGACGGCCACGACGAAAGTGCCGTTGGCGACGAGGCGCTCCGCGAGGGCGAGGCCTATGCCCGAGGTCGCGCCGGTCACGAGGGCCGTCTTGGAGGGGAAGGGCATCTTCGGTTCGCGTTGCCCCGCGTCGGTTCTTTCCTTCCTTGTCCTTTTCTTTCTTGGCGAACAAGCAAGGTCGTCGCAAAACGATTTCCCGAGGGTGTTTGAGTGATTTGGGAGCTTCAGTATCCGCTTCTTCTTTTCTCCTTCTCCCGTTGTGGGGGATGACTGAGGTGACGTCGTCGAATCGAGGAAAGGGTTTCAGGACGGACGGACGGACGGCGGGTGAAATGGAAGGAGAAAGGATTCTCGCAAGATGAGATGATTGAGCCGATGAGATGGGGTGACGGAAGGCTTGGGTTTGCATGATGAAGCGATGAGCTAGGTTGTTTTTCCGGGAGCGCGGGTTTCGGCCGATGTTTGGAGGGGAAGTACGGTATGGACTGCGTCATGGGATCCCGGGTGGGGGGACGGCAAGGGAAGTTTACGCGAAGTCGGGACGATGTTACGTCGGGGCGGGGGGTTTCGGGATGAGCGGGGGCTTCCGGGGGCCGGGGACCGGGGATTGGGGATCGCGGCAGATCATCCGATGTCTTGGATCCATAAGTCGCATCTCATGTGTGACATCTTCCTTGACGGAATATGCAGCATGAGAGTTTGGGGGACCGCACGTGTCCGGTTTGCTGTTCGCGAAACTTGCCATATGTGTATGAACCGCGGAGCCCCCCCGGAGCGGCAGAGAACTCATGTTTTTGGCGGTCCGAATGGGGTTTCCTGGATTTGGCGAAGGGAGGCGGAGGGGGAAGCCCAGGGGCAATGTTGAGACTTGTGTATCGGGACAGGCTCATCGGGCCCTGGCTCTCATCATTTTGCCTACAAGAAGTGCAACTTTGTCGTGCCCGGTATGTATGGACATGGGGGGATATCAACGCCACGTCTACGTATCTCATCTTCATCGACGCTGCGCAGCCACGCTTGACGCTCCTCGGAACCTGCTGCCGGTTAGGAAAGACTCCTTGAATACAAGCTAGGCCGCCCAGAGAGAGGTTGATCGAAAAGGGCCAATAAGTCCAAGGACGGGTGCAATGATGTGTGTCCGTGGTTGGATGGATTGATGTTGCTAGGAGTATTGTGGAGAGGAAGCCACTTGTAGTGACCTTCGTGCCTGCCGTAGTCTGGCAACGGGGGACAAACACCGCTTAACCCTTGGTCTCGCAATGCTCAGGATCCCAACTCTGCGTTTAGGTTCGTCCCTTCTCGTTCGAAACAGACTATAAAGGATATATGCAATAGGCCCAACCTACCATAATTAAGATGCCATCGGCCTCTCGTGAAGCAAGTGCGGTTGGAGAGAAAGCACCGTCACTCGTCTTGTTCGCCAACTCTCAGCAGGACATTTTCAAAAACGGCCTTTGCGGGATTCTCGATCAGAAAGTTGCGGTCACTCGCTGCCCTGAAATCGTACGTTCCTCGTCAATATCTGATGTCATGCCATGGTTCATTTCTTCCGCGATGCCGCTGCCGGCGGAACCTCCGGCTGGTCTTTTCATGTTTCTTCGTGCTATAGGGGTTGAAGTCTAGCACCCACATATGCGATAATTCATTCTTCGCCTCAAATTCGCAAGAGCGGTTTTTGTCAAGGTCGATGCCTGGCTACATGCTTGCAGGCCCCATCGTTGGAAGCTGCGGGAAGCTGTCTTCGTGCTCTCTTGACGAAGAGATCGATTAAGAGGCTCCAAGTCGGTTCTCAGGGAATAGGTATGCGCTCGATGGTGATTGTTGTGAGTGAGATCTCCAGAGTTTAGTACAGTTCCTCCCTCGAAAGGGTCAGTCGTTGCCTCCTCGGCTAGAGTGTTCAGACACTCAGATAAACACCCTGGGGATGAGGCAAGTGGAATCAGTCCGCGGTGAGAAGCTGCTAGCATTTAGGCTATCCCTCTTCTTGGAAAACACGTCGTAGACAAAGAGGCGGGCCTGGAAATCCACCTATCGGATGTTGTAGTATCTGGGCTTATTTGACGACATGGAAGTCACGTGCTTGATACAGACAAGTCCGTGTTATCCGAAGCAGATCTTCGTATGGCATTCGATCAATAGTATGTTGTGACGAGGATGAGATGTTTCTGTCGGGGTTTGAACATACTAGACCAACACTTTGTCCGTTTGGTGACCGATAGATGCAAGCATCAGAAGCGGCCGGTGGCTCATGCCGTGAGGATGTGCCCATATTACCAACAGCATTGCCAGGTTGTTGTACTAAGAATTCAACAACCTAGACTGATACCGCTAGAGAGCAAAGATTCGCAATATGTGGCATCTAATTCTCGGTAAGAGATATCAATCAGCAAGTTGATCGGAGGTACGGGATATAGATAGGAATACATGATAGCAAACCGAATTGTTGCAGTGCTTACTTCGGGGGTATTTCTTGAAAATGCGAAGCTCACCCTTTGGCTTTTTCACGGAAACCCTTCCTATTTGATTGTTTGTGTATCGGCGAATCCTATGCTATGGTCTGTGTCCTTTGCTCGCTTGACCGATATCGATGATTTTCTCAACAAAAGTAGGGCCGCGATCATTGCGCCGAGCTTGCACTTAATCAAACACTTGATTTATGACTACCTGAAAGAATGTCTGCCAGTCTGTCTTGAAGCTTGTAGGATTGATGTCGTCGGACATTACGTCTCCTGTATAGGGTTTTGCTTCAAGGAAGGCAAACAAGACTTCCATGTTACGTTGCAATGAAATCATAGCTCGCACGACCTTCTCAGGGCACGTCAGCGTGCCCATAGAGCGAATGGAATGCAAGTGCTCAGCCTCTGGAAATGTCTGTATTTGGAAGCGGGTTTCATATCCCAACAGGTAGATATCAAGTTTACTTGCGGCCCCGATGGGGTCCACGGTGTTGAGTTACATCTCAAGCCTCTCTCGCTGCACTTCCCGAGGGAGTGCCGGTGGAGGCGCAGTATCTGTACGTGGAAGAAGGGCAAGGATTTGGAAGCAGAGGCAAAGTTGCGTTTTTATGTGGCTTTTCCCAGACATGAGGCTTCAGACCGTCACTTCCTGGTCACCGAAAGAGGAAAGTTACGTCGTTTGAAAGCGAGAGAGTCAGTCTAGAACAAACAAGCAGGCACGCACGTGCCCACCGCTGTGGAGTGGACCGTCTCCAGATGTCCAGGTCGACAGCAGGCAGGAGCAGTGCAATCTCACCTCTCCGGTTTGGAAGTGACTAATTTCCTTTCCCTTCCTTTCCCTTCTTTTCCCTTCCTTTCCTTTCCTTCACCTTCACCTTCACCAACGCCACCCCTCAAATCCTTATTTTCGATTGAGTGTTGAAGGCGCCGCCATCCAAACAGAGCCTCCCCGTCATCCTTTTCGAAAATAGACATAAGCCAAAGTCCCTTCTCGCGGGGCTGATACAAATTGGTCCCGGGATGCGCAGTAAGCCCCCTTGATGATGGCGCCAAGGCCAGTGACTGACTGTGGCTGATTCGGCATGCAGGAAGACACACGACGTCTGGGGCGACTTCAGAGATGACGACGACTTCCTCCCACGTCTGACGAATGACTGCCTTCTGTCCAGTTTGCCATCGCTCACCATCGGGCTTTCTTTAAACCGAGCCGCTACGTCTGCTGCACTTGTCAATTTCGCCCATCGGCCCCGTCAAGCGGCTGGGGGCCATGTCGAACGGTCTTTGGAGTATTCATCCTGCAACTGAACGTGATATGGCTATCTGCGTGGCTGGCACTGTGGCTGCGCTCACTCTAGCATTGGGGAAGTCAAAAATTCCTCAGCCCTATTGGTCCGTGTTGCGTTGAAGCTTCCAGGTTGCAGCTGTGAATAGGGTAGCCTTTTCATTGCCAGCCTCTACAATCCCGCAGACGGGTGGATCATTTGCCTTTTGGAAGGAATGGTGCAATATCGTGCGCACCGCACGACCTGCCTTTGCGGTTCACGGTGACGGACAACCCGTGAGTCGACGTCCCTGCCATTCAGCAATATGGCCCAGCCTTAATTTATGCGGCGATGGCGTTGAAATACCCACATACGGATTTGTCGACGACCCGCACGGTTCATTGAGTCTGAGCTGGAGCAGTCGAGCGACAGCCAGCGTCAGCAAGATCAACCAGCCAGGTGCCTCCCCAGTTTGAACAACCACAGGCTGGGTAATGGCAGACTAGGCTGATGCTGGTATCTCGCCTTTTCGAATCCTTCTCGCCAAAGATGTATCCTCAGAGGCAGGTTATCCGGAGCAATCTCTTTCTGTTTCCCTTTCGACAGGTTGTTTTCCTTATGGATTGCTACTGGAGTTGTGGCGAACAAAGCACACACTTGCGGGCAATTAACCACCAGGAAGCACGATACGATCAGTCTCAATCCAACTTTGCCCAGATGAGTCAAACAACTACTTCCCAATAGCAGAGGAACTTGGGGTCCGTCGGCGCCTTGGCTGGTTTCGCTTATCTGTAAAGACCTTTGGCATCGGCCTTCGATGGAACCGCTAAATGATGAGTGAGCTAAGCCTCGAACGCACTAACTGGTCGAGGAGTGCAGCTTCGTCGGTGCGCCTGCTTTTGCTGCCCCTTGAGCTGCAAGCTTCGGCGACCGCCGCTCCGCTGGGGATTTGTCGCTGATCATATCAATTTGCTCTCAAGAAGGTCACTGGCCGGTACCCCGCAATCCTGCCTCCATGCTTTTGTTCCCAACCATCGCAGGAACCTCGGCCTGCGGAAACAACGGAGTCAGCTTGGCTCAAAGGCTGTAAAGCGCGCTCGGGTAGCAACTCTGTCACGTTCCAATAAGAACCTCTACCCGTTGACGAGCCATGGTAGCACGGGCTCGAAGGCCTTGGTCAGCGGCATGGAACCCTCTCCCCAGACGCATGGTTGTCGTCGTTGGAGAACCCACGCCACCCCAATTCGACGTCTGGAACTGAGATCCCGACTTGGGTTGCAACAAGTCCATGCTGCATTACCAGCCACCAAGGTGCTTTATCAGTTGTTATGCTAAAGTGAGGATATCCCCTTTGCGGGGTAAATCAAATACCTAGCTCCGAGCCCGACTGTTCAAAGGAGGAAACACCATCTTCGGCGCGCCACATCTCGCGGTTCCGTGCATACCCGTGTAATACTGGCCAAGAGTTGGCAATGACAAAGCGGGAAGCGCAGGTCCTTGGCCTGTTTCCGTGCTGGGTGTTGCCGTCGGCAGTTTCCTGGATGTGGTGTATTCGGAACACCTGACCAACGGCGAGAGCCTGCCAAGCCTATATTCATGTTAGGACACGGATCTCTATCACGAGGTCTGTCAGATGGAGAGCCGTTTCATAGATGGAGGCTGGTGTGATCTGCCAGGACAGTTTGTGAGGTTCTTTCCAATACGGCTCCAAAGTGGACCCAGGCGGGGAGGAGTCGCTCCCACGTCGGCCAGAATACCGGGTCCCTTCGAACTCATGTTGGGAGCGTTGTTGGAAATCCCCTCCTCTTAGGAATGAAACCGGCCTGTTCGTCTTTCCAAATCGAATAGCAAGAAAATCCTCAGGTGACGAAGTCTACGTGACGTGATGGTCACCCCCCTCCCCCCGCCATTGAACCTTGCATCGTGAGGAAGTGTTCACGGCAACCTGATTCAACAGAGTACCGCCAAAGCGTCATCACAAAAATAGCATCATGAGGCTGGGAGGGGGTTTTCGATCGGATAAATTCTGATCAGACGGTCTGCAAGAGCCAGACTGCCGATGCAACAAGGTTTATGTGCCTCGCCGAGAGGGACATATCCGATAGGAGGGACCGTGACAACGTCGTCCGGAGTGTACCCCATACCGTCGCATCACTCAAAGAGCTGGCTGGATGGTGTGACGGGATGACATTGTTCCTACCACCCACCACACGCATACGTTCGTTGGGATGCGAGAGAGAGGGGGGGCAAAATGCTCCTCTCGAACGGCCTAGGCACGTGGCGACGCGTCCGGCGTTGAAGCTTCGGTTCCCAGCAGCCTGGACAAGCAACGGATGTTTCCCGCTCGTCGAAACATCAGGCCACAGGCCCAAGACAGCCTCGGGCAGAAAGTTGTGGCAAATGGAGAAGTCACGGTCGAGACCCGTCTGTCTTGATGATTCATTTAGTAACGCAGGTGCGCCTCCACGAACGAAGGGTTATTTCTTGTCGTCGCGGTCGGTCGCCACCTCCATCGACGACTCTCGCGTCTCGACCCTTGCTAATTTGCACGAGACAAGCGCGCAAGCCTGACTTACGGTGATTGTCGGGCGAGTCACCTTGTGGATGCGGATAGCATCTCTGGCGTCGTCCGGCCGAGTGTATGGGCGGTGGCGGGTGGAAGGATGCAGATTTGACAGCATCACTAAACAACTCGCGAGGTCATGGGGCGAAGGCGAGATTGAGAATGGAAGGTTCCGATCCGAGGTCTTCGGCATTTAGTCCTTGACCAGAAATAGAGAAGGCGGAACGGCGATGGAAATTGTGCATTGTGCATAGACGTTGACCAAGGAGGGCTGGATTGGGGGGTCCCTGAGGTTCGTTCAGGAGGAGGAGGAGCGTTATGATGTGGCGCATTGAGATTCGCTTCTCGGCATGAACTATTTTGATGGACAAAAGGCTTCGATGGTGCCTGAACCTGATCCCAGCCGAGGAAACACCAAGAATCAAGACGGTCCGCGCGCGCCCGATCAATTTCAACGACGGCTAGTCCAGCTTACGCCACTTGTCTGACCATCGCGATTTCCGGGGGCTCCTGAAATTGCAAGCCGGACTAGCGGCCGGACGGGCTACATTGGCGTTGCGCCAACGTGGAGAGCACACACCCTGCGTCCTGAAGTCACGACAGGCCTTTCTCTCTCTCTCTCACTCTCTCTCTCTCTCTCTCTCTCTCTCTTCACCTATTCTGGCTTGTCCTGGAGAAGAAGAAGAAGGGGTGGGGCGTTGATCAATCCCCTGCTTGGCGCTCAATGCTTTTTTGATTGTCTGTCTTTGCGCTCCGTATACGGATACCTCAAGCTGAGAGAGACGTTGCGGACAAGCCACAACCAATTACGGCAGATAGTGAGGCGATCGCCGGCCAGGATCTTTGGGGTTTATGTCAGATGTCAGGGGGCGAAGTCTTTCGTTCTGCGACTGCGTCTGATAGTCTCTGCCTCTGTAATATTTGCTTTTGCCTGGCTTTTGTTGATTGTTCTTCGGCTTGCTGACATCATCCACTCTGGTACCTTGATACTCTCTCTTTCACTCACACCAAACTGTACACACACAGGTACACACACACACACTCTCTCTCTCTCTCTCTCTCTCTCCCTCTCTCTCTCCCTCTCCCTCTCTCTCTCTCGGCTCTCTCTCGTCTCTCTCCACTCGCTATCCACTTCGAATGTCTAGCTCGACGCGCCGGCGCAAAGGCAAAGAATCACGGACCCTCGGCCACCAGCTCCGGCATTAGTTGTGTGGTGAAAGTCAAATAAATTTGGGGAGCAGAGACAGGAGGGACTAGAAACGAACCCGCGCCGCATCCCGATGGCGACAATGGATTACAACGTGGCTAAGGTGTCGATGAGTTCATGGCTTTGACCCAGACTACTACGCATCTCCCGCGACTAGAACGACAAGTGAATCGATCTGATTGGGCCTGAGGTCTGGTCTGTGAGCCTCGAGATTGCAGCTGGACCTGCGAGGAGGTGCGCCCTCTCTCCTTCTGCACCATGGCACTTGGCCGCCACCCCTGGTCGTCGACCATTCTCGGATACGTCCCAATGCGAAGGACTGCGCCATGGCGGACGGCACATCACCCTTGCCTTGTACGCCCCTCCCCCCTTCTGCTGGCGGGCCAAGGAGAAGCGAGCGCAGTGCATGTGTCTCTTCCATATATATCATGATCGTCCTCCGTCTCTTCAGTCGTACTTCTCAGGAAGGACACCAGCTCACTCACCTTTTGGATCTCAGTCTTAGATCCTATCCATTCACTCGTTTACGTTTCTTTCGTCTCGCAGCTGTCAAAATGTCAGTATTACGCTACCTTCTTCCGACCCTGGCCCTGGCGCTGGGAGCCATCGCCGAGTCTCGCAACTTCGAATTGAATCTTACCTGGGAGACGGCCTCCCCCGATGGATTCGCCCGGAAGATGATTTTAATCAACGGCCAGTTCACTGGCCCAAGGATTGAGGCCACTGAGGGAGACGATATCACTATCAAGGTTCAGAACAACCTCCCCTATTCGACCACCGTCCACTACCATGGTATGTCCCGACGCACACCCGCCTCAATGGCAGCCTATGACTAATCCCTCAAACCAGGTATCGAGCAGTTGGATACCCCCTGGTCCGATGGTGTCCCTGGCGTCACCCAGCGCCCCATCCCGCCCGGCGGCAGCTTCGTGTACCAGTGGAAGGCTACCCAGTACGGTGCCTACTGGTATCACGCCCACTGGGAGAGCCTCATCGAGGATGGTCTTTTTGGCCCCATCACTATTCACCCTGCCGCCTCTCACCAGAAGCCCTTCAGCCTGATCTCCAGCGATGGTGCTGCTATCAACGCTATGGAGAAGGCTGAAAAGAAGGTCGTTCCCCTCGTCCTCTCCGATCATCGCCACATGATCTCCGAGGAGGTCACCAAGCTCTCTGCAGCTGCCAACATCCAGTTCTCTTGCTATGACTCCTTCCTTTTCAACGGAAAGGGCAAAGTCACGTGCCGTACCCCTGAGGAAATCGATGCGCTCTTGACCCCAGAGAGAAAGGACGTCTTGGCCAACCTTGCTGGTGCCAGGATGACAGACAAGGCGTAAGTGACGCCGCAAAATGCTAGGGTGGCCATCTGACTAACACCGCGCAGTTGTATCCCCGCTGCTATCATCGCCCGTGGCCAGGGAGACCTGAGCAAGGTTCCTCCCGGCGTCTTCGACGGCTGCCAGCCCAGCGATGGTGGCCAGGAGACCTTCAAGGTTGAGAAGAGCAACTGCGACACTGAGAAGTGGGTTGCTTTCGACATTGTTGGTGCTTACCACCTGCACACAGCCATGTTCTCCATCGACAACCACTCCATGTGGGTCTACGCGATGGATGGCGCCTACGTTCTCCCCCAGGAGGTTGAAGCCATTCCTGTCACCAACGGCGACCGCTATTCCGTTCTCGTCAAGTACAAGCAACAGGGTGACTTCACCATCCGCGCCGACTCCGTTATCGCTACCCAGATGCTTAGCGGTACCGCTCTCCTCCAGTGGCGCGAGAAGGGCCAGCCCGAGCCCCAGATCGTGCCCTCTGCCCCTTGGGTCGCCGACAACGGCATGCCGGTCTCCAGCGCTGTCCGCGTCTTCCGCCAGGCCCTCGCTAAGCCTTACCCGCCCATCCCGATCCCCCGCAACGGCAATGTCCTCCACAAGTTCTTCATGCACACTTCGGGCGGTTCCTACTTCTGGGCCTTGAACGAGACCGTCCTCCTCCCCGCGGATTATGAGAACGACACCCCTGTTCTCTTCAGTGTCAACACCAATGAGAACGATCCTACCATCGTCTCGAACAAGAACGGTACCTGGGTCGACATGGTCTTCCAGGTTGTCAACTCGCCGCAACCCCCTCATCCTATTCACAAGCACGGCAATAAGATGTTCTTGCTTGGCTCCGGCACCGGCAACTTCACCTGGAACTCCATCGAAGAGGCTGTTGCCGCCAACAGCACTGGCTGGAACCTGATCGACCCCCCTCGCAGGGATACTTTCGCGACTCCTAACGCCATCGACAACCCTACATGGATGGCTGTGCGGTACCTCGTCAACAACCCTGGCGCCTGGTTGCTCCACTGCCACATCCAGAGTCATATTCAGGGAGGTATGTCTGCCATCATCCAGGATGGCATCGACGCCTGGCCCGTCACACCGCAAGAGTATCTCAACTACCCCTAAATGGGTAATGGCATGGGAACGCCCAGAGCATATAGAGAGCTCCCAGAAAAACCATTCCCTTAATTGGTGTAATTTAGAGGGGGATACCTGACTAGAGATGGGCACGGTACGGCGCGGGGCGGCAAATTGCGTGCGATTGTCATTCACGACCAATCATCTGGTTTGCGACTTATTCCCTTTTACTATACGCGGGGCATTTTTTTTTCTTCCTTTTTTGGATGAACATACCTTACCTTTCTGACCGCCACATATTCAGTAAACGTGCAGTAATCATTCAATCGATAATGAAAATTTACACTGTTTTCATTGTGCATTGTGCGTTCCGATTTCGGCGATGCCTGAATGTCTCAGCATGCTTGTCGTGATATAGTGTACCTGTCTACTTACATGACGTGTCGCAGTCAAGTGAAAACCAGCTGTGATGGGGAACCTTGTGCCCCCAATTCTGAGGTCGTACGACGCCGCAAGCTTCATCTGCAGCCACCCCGTTCTGTTCTCAAATGCCCGGCATCTTTTTCATGAAGCATCCTACCGGTACTTCACTGTTGTTTATGCGTCGATGCACAAAACGTCGTGGCACTTTGCGGCAGCGGCAAAGTTGTACTACCCAGGAGAGCTTTTCTTTCCCTCACCCCATCTACCGGCAGACCGCCTCTATCAACAGGCTCCTCTATCAGCAGATCAGAAAGCGTCATGACGTATCTCTGGACCGTGACAGTAGCAATAAGGCTACAAGAATAAGAGGGGTTGGGGGCAAGGGAAGGGAGGCGAGGTGCTACAGCATCGAGGTAGCATGAGGACGATGAAGCCGTTGGTGGAGATGAAAAAAACAACATGCTCTGTTCGTGCATGCATATGCATGCACGCATGCGCAACGACGGTTCATCCATAGTCTCCTCCCTTCAATCTCTCGTGTGCTGAGATTTCGCCCTCCCCCTTGCTCTAAATTTCCTCTTGCTTCTTCTCAATGGTGCGTTCACGTCTGTTAAAAGTCTCGGTAGCTGGTCTAGTGATGAGGTAAGATGTCTCTCTCTCGCTCGCTTGCTCGCCTGCTAAATGCGGACAAACTCAGCCCGCAAGAGCGACTCCCAGGCTGATTGATATCCTTCGCCTAGCATCCGGCCCTGATTGGCAGGTCGTAAATGTGAGGCCCACCTGCGTGGGGAGTAGAGACAACAGAGATAAGGGAGCGCAGCAAGTTGGACGAGAAAAAGAAAGCGTTGAGATGGGGGGAGGAGGAGGGCGTGTCTCTCACAGAAGGTGATGGGTTTGCCGAGTTAAGCGAGTCCAGGTCGACGGAGAGGTGCATACGCATACATGCAAGCCACTCTATGTCACTCATGCATTATTCCATCCTGCACGGAAGGAGAATTGCCGGCATAAGATGCAATCTCTCCCTTTGCTCAGGGACGGAC